CGAAACAAGAGGTTCCACTTATTGTAATGAACTTTGTAATTCTACCCTAAAAGTTACATTTTTAAATGTTTGTGGTCTTAAGTCAAAATTGATTCTACCAGAATTTGAGCAACTTATTATCATTTCATTTGGTTTACTAGTTTTCTAGAGAGTAAAACTGACGAATTAGATGTTCTAAAATTATCGGAAGGGTACTCATACTATGCTAAACATCGATCTAACTGTAAAAGAGGATCCGGTGGCATTGTTATAGCCTACAAGAAAAGTATTGAGCACTCATTACATTTCAAAAAAAGCAATTCTGAATATGCACAATGGTTAATACTGTCAAAATCATTGTTATGTATATATCCCCCCTGAGACTTCCAGGTACTCAACTGTTTATGCTTTTTCTGAGTTAGAGCGAGCGGGGATGGAGCGAGAAATGGTTAATTTTTGTAATGACAATACACAAGTAGCATTAATTGGAGATTTTAATTCTATTTTATTGAACCAGACAATAGACTTGTTGATGTACTAAATATTGATGAAAATGAGTCTGTATTTGATGTAATGTATGACTTCGAAAATTATATGTAATTAATATACCTCTAGTTAGGTACAGTCATTGTACTTCGAGAGTGAATAATTTTGGAAACAAACTGATTGAGTTTTGTCAGCAAAACAATATTTATATTGCCAATGGTAGACTTGGAAAGGGCCAGTACATAGGAAAACATACATGTAATAATTCATTAGTGATAGATTATCTTTTGGTATCTTCAGAAATATTCCATTGTATAAATGAATTTGAAGTTTCTGACTTCGATCCTTTGCTCTCGGATGTGCATTGCCGCATTGAGTTTGAATTATTAAACCTATCTACAAAAACAAAGGTGATACACACGATCTTGATAATTATAGAGCAATCACGTTAGTTTCATGTCTAGGCAAGTTATTTATATCTATAATTAACAATAGATTAACTGTATTAGCAGATGAAATTAATCTTATATCGCAAGTACAAGCCGGGTTAGGAAAGGGGTATTCAACCACTGAAAATATTATTATATTACATATTCTTATCTCTATATTTGTCAAAAAACAAAAAGTTATATTGTACATTTATCGACTTTAAAAAAAGCCTTCGGTGCGGTGTGGCGAGCCGGTTTATGGAGAAAAATGCAATCCTTTTAACAGTAAAACATTTCAAAGTAATACATAATTTATATGAAAACACAAAATCTTGTGTTCGTAATGGAAATGAGATATCTGACTTTTTATGTGCAATGTTGGTTTAAAACAGGACGAAAATTTGTCTCTATATTTCTAAACGATTAAGAAGAGTATCTTCAACAAAATAATGTATCATGTTTGCAAGAAATTGACAGTTTATGTGAACATAACCTTGGTATGTATGTGAAATTATTTGTTATTTTATATGCAGATGATACTGTGTTGATGTCAGAATCACCTGAAAAGGTTTACAGAATGCACTTTATTGTTTTCAAAATTATTGTGAAATCTGGAAATTAACTATCAATACCTAAAAGACAAAAATATAAATTTTTGAAAAACGGAAAAGCAGACGCCGATTTAATTTTACACTATTTAATGATCCACTTGTATAAAACATATCAACTCTTGAGATTTCCTCAAGTCTAAGATTCCCCATAGACAATACATTGCTTGAGATTTTCCTTAACTTTGAGATGTTTTATACAAGTGGGCCCTGTTACTCGTGATGATTCTTACCCTTATATCGGAATATTGTTCAATTATAATGGATCATTCGTTAAAACAAAGAAAGAGTTAGCTAACCAGGCAAAGAAAGCATTGTTTGCAGTGTATACCAAAATAAGAAACATTCCTTTATCTATTGACTTACAACTTGAATTGTACTCTATGCATGTTCAATCTGCGGATTTGAAAATGTAAGTATCATTGAAAAATATCTTCTGCAATTTTGTAAGAAAATTTTACATGTTCGAAGTAGTACACCAAAATTTATGGTGTATGGCGAACTGGGAAAATTTTCATTAGAATTAGAAAGTTAAGTTAGAATGCTAATGTTTTGGCATAAATTAATAACAAGAGGAGATAAGCTATCTAGTGTATTCTATCGCCTAGTACTAAAAATGCAAGAAAATAATACTGCAGAATTTAAATGGCTTGGATATATAAAATCATTACTTAATAACACAGGGCTTACTAATATTTGAATATACCAAAACACATGTACAATGAATAGATCACTCTTCAAAAATTTGCTTAAAAAACGTTTATGTGATTAATTTATTCAAAATTGGTTCTCTCCTATTGACTCTACGTCTCGTGGACAGTTCTACTCTATCTTTAAAAAACAGTTTAATTTTGAATCATATCTAGTTAAGCTTAATTCCAGCGAACGTATAATCATCAGCAAATTTAGAATGTCGAACTTAAAATTACCCATTTCAAACTGGTAGATGGATTGGTATACCACGAAATAATCGTACTTGTTTGCTATGTAATAATGGTATTGGGGATGAATACCACTATCTATTTCAATGTAATAATGCTAAGATAACTAATTATAGATATAAATACATCGCACATTACTTTTATATAAATCCAAGTTTAGCTAAAATGAGAGGTATGTTTGAAATTTGTAATCGACCCTTATTATCCAGAATGAGTTACTTTCTTAAAATTGTAGAAAACCTATGTATTTCATGCTGATTATTGTCATACAATTGCAGTTTATTATTCTTGAGTGAGTTACTTTAATGCATATTTAATATATTTATTCATGTGTTACAATTAACTCTGTCTGCCGTGTATGTTGTTTTGAATGTTTGACCACTTATCACACACAAATGTGTCGAGAGTGTAATAAATAATCTGAATCTGTATCTGTACACGGTGCGGGAGACATACCAGTACCGGTACTTCTACAGTATTACATGCATATGGAAGCCAAACTGTCGCCGAATTGAGACTAAAATGCTTGTCCTCTTCGATACCAAGAAAAACAACCTAATTAACGTTTGTCTGTTTAAACACGGTACAATAAAAACCACCCTTTTATCTGGTAATATTGTGGAAAATAATTGAGGGAAAAAATTAATAATGGACCATAATTCTGTTAATAGTGGGGCACAAGACTAGTAGCTATTTCAGTATGCGACACTTTGTCATTTAGAGATACAAAATGATCAACGTGACAATTGTACGTGACAGATAACATATTTTAAAGATATATACCGGATAAAAGATGAGCAGTGATTGGAACAAAGGATCACCACTCCAGGTATACTAGACCTAGTGTTAATGCATTGAAATCATTGGACTGATAATCCACAAAATTTTCAAATAGAAAAATTACTTGGTGTACCCCTTTGTCCCCATTTGTTTGTTGTACCCATTTGTCCCCATTTGCTTGTTGTACCCCTTTGTCCCCATTTGCTTGTTGTACCCCTTTGTCCCCATTTGCTTATTGTACCCCTTTGTCCCCATTTGCTTGTTGTGCCCCTTTGTCCCCATTTGCTTGTTGTACCCCTTTGTCCCTATTTGCTTGTTGTACCCCTTTGTCCCCATTTGCTTGTTGTACCCCTTTGTCCCCATTTGCTTGTTGTACCCCTTTGTCCCCATTTGCTTGTTGTACCCCTTTGTCTCCATTTGCTTGTTGTACCCCTTTGTTCCCATTTGCTTGTTGTAGCTATAGAGGAAGAACTCTCTGAAGAGGCACCGGTTGCCATATAAATGACTTGCCAGACTCTGTGAAATCAACAGTTAGACTTTTCGCAGATGACTGCCTACTCTATCGAGAACTTGATAATATCAAACAAGGACCACGAAACACTTCAAGACGACCTTAAACAGCTCGAAACCTGGGCTGCAAACAGGGGGATGGAATTTAATGCCAAAAAATGTTACATTCTTTGTATTAAGAAGAAAAAGCAAAACACATACCAACTTAATGGACACAACTTAGATCACGTACAGACAAACCCATACCTAGGATTATAACTATCATGTTATATGAAGTGGCAAGAACATATAGCAAGTACCACAAAAAAGCCAGTTCTACATTAGGCTTCCAACGACGCAATCTACAACACTGCCCCACAGAGAATGTAGAAAGACTGCACACATTGCTCTTGTCAGATCCATCTTGGAATACGGAGCAATACTCTGGGACCCGTACATAAAGACGAACATTAACAAATTGGAAAGCATCCAACGGAGAGGGGCGCGTTTCATCCAGAAGGATTACAGAACAAGGGAAGAGGGTTTCATGACCAAAACAAAAACAACAGAGACTAACATTCTATTATAAAATAGTATAGGAGCAAATTCCATCAATGCCTAGCAAAGACTTTATTAACTTCCAACGTGAAAAAGGAAAACACGACAGCGTATATTTCATGACTGCGAGACATCAAGACCAATTCCAAATTCAATCAGGAATAATAACAGAGTAGTCATAATACCCAACAGCAACACGGAACAGTACCGAAACTCATTCTTTGTACGAACAGCCACAGATTGGAACCACCTGGACGACATCACAGTCGGGGTGCAAGGAATAGAGGCATTTAAAGCATCAATCCCTACCAACTGGGATTAAGCGAAGCAGGGACAGTATATATATACGTCCCTGAGCGAAGCTAACTATCGCATGCGTACTCAACCCCCTCCGCATTAAAGCCATTTTGGTCTCTGTGGAGTATAACATAGAAGAACATATAGATAGACGTGATGCCATTCCATCTTATTGCTGTCAGAGACGTATTATACGTCTCTGTTGCTCAGTGTGATGTGTTCGTAAGGTGTTACATTCATTTTCACATTATTTCATTGAATCCAACTTGAGTATAAACTAACACTTATAAACTAACCAAATTTAATTTTATGACACATGGAATCATCCTCACTTGGATGAATATTCCGGATTAGCTTTGTTGATATTGGTTTTTATTTTAGTATTATTGCCTGACAAGCGTTCAGGTGAGAAAAGTTAACACGGTAGCGTACGAGTGACTCAGTTTCCAATGAAGGAGTGATGGACAACATGTTCCGCTTGCTATAGAATTTATCCATGTTGAGTGTCGACACAGACTAATTTACACGCTCATCGCATAAGGTCGTCTTCGTAAGTATTTGACTTTCTAGTAAAAGCTTACACTAGTTGTAATTACTTTCTCGGAATCCTCCTAACATCTCTGATGTGAACACTAATTCTGTCATTTCATCTCTCAGTCATCTTACGTACTTCGGAAGAGAGAGATGTCATTTTATGTGTATAAATATTTATAAATAACGCAATCCAGTGATTTAAATATATTCAACGATAATAATACATTACATAATCATCTTGTGTACGTTCGTAATACAGAAAGAAGAAGGTCTTACCTGTTCGGGAATGATTTATTAAGTTAAAAGTTCAATAAGTACTTTCAAATAAAAAAGTTTGTTTACATGTTTACATAATTTACGTGGGAAGGTACAGGTGCGCTGATAGTTGACATAAGTACAAGCTCCAGTGCACTGTAGTTTCCCTTTCTAATTCGTTTTCATTTGTTCAAAGATAATTCCACTGAAAGTTATTTACTTCATAGTGTTATTGTTGCATAAATTTAATATATATATTTTTTTAATATGAACAGGTTCCCCATTCTAATTTACGTTAAAGACTAATCACTATTAGTATTTTTATTTGACCTCTCCTGCCACATATCTTTATGAACATGATTGAGGTCAGGTATACATATAGGGTTCATACACTTGAACACAATTCACAGGTACTTTCATTCATTCATATCTTTATTCCTCCAAATTTGAAGAGTTACAAATGCCATATATAATATGTTACAAAGATAGATATGCAAAGGACATAAGTATAATAATAAGGTTATAATGAAAAAATTAAATACATGGGATCAAACAATAAAAGTTACATGATTACAAAATATATGAAGTACACAACGATAAAAAGACATACACAGGACTACATCAACAAGCAAATTCATGGAATTTATATCCCCCGCTTTCAGGACATATTATATGTAAACATTATTGAGGTTAGGTTTAAACATGTGAGTATCGTGCTGTTGAGACACAATGTATAGCTTGAAACTTGAAGAAAAAAAGCTTTATCTAATATTTGCTAGAGGTATTAAGCGGATACTGCAGATAATGATTCTGCCAAATGGAGTCTGCTGAAAGTGGTTGTCAAACTTGGCCAAGCCCTTAATGCGTTGAACCCTGTTACTAAGTTTGAAGACAATCGTATACTATTTGCGAGAGTTAATGAACAGAAAGGGAAGATAATGACGTTTTTTCGTTATTCAAGGGGCCATAACTCTGCCAAATGGGGTTCGCTGAAATGGTCGTCAAATCTGTTCAAGCCCTTAAAACATTTAACCCTGGTACCAAGTTTGAAAAAAAATAGATTAACATTTGTTGTAGTTATTGCACGGAAACGAAGCGTGACAAACAGACAAACCCAAATTAATATCCCCCGTTTTGGTGAAAGTGGGGGATTAAAAGTATGGAAACATGTATGTAAAGACAGGACTGTCCAATTGCCAGGATGACCCATATATGATACGAATGCACATGGTTTAAAGATCTAATAGACTATCATCGTTAATTAAACATAAACACAAGGGATGCTTTTTCGACATAAATACAACAATCTCTTGCAAATGATGCAAAAGGCGGTCCTCATTTACAAATATGTCTTAAAGGCAGCAGGTGGACTGCCGAGGATCGTCGCAATTTGCACCTCCCTACATGAGTTAGCAAGAAGAACATACACATGTATGCACCGGACAATTGTTGACTATCTTGGTGAAAAGATCATCACGTATAGCAATGTGGGACTACAGCAATATACAATGCACAACTGCATCTTCTACAAAGATATTGCACTGGGCATATGATAGTTCACAATTAGGTGGAATACCCCATTGTTTTGCAAATTTTTACACGTTGTGTAGAGATTAGGGAAACATTTGGATAGGTACCATAGTAGCGAAGGGCTTATCTCACACTGTAGGTGTTTAAAATCTTAAGAACTCATCATGATCATAAGCATTGAGACGTTCACTCCACTGCGAGGAGTACTTACCCAATACAACACCCTTTGTGAGGTGTTTCCAATAGTTTTTAACCGGGAAAACACCAGTTTAGAAAAAAATTGGTAAAAAAAAGTCTTGTAGATCATATTTGTGAAGTGTGTTCCGGATGTCTAGAACAAAGCCTTTGTTCTCGGGAAAGGTGATAATTGTATTACCATTAGCATAAAGAAGATATCTGTTTCTATTTATAGGATACCATGAGTAGTTTTTTTTACAGTGTTCAAACAATAATAGATCTTCGAAACTTGTATTCAAGTGTAATGGTGTTACAAGTCAATAAAAGCAATAACATTAGTTTTAAATTAGTTGACTTAATTATCTAGCTAGTTATAATATGAACATCTCCTAAATGATACCAATGTTACAATTTCTGTTTGTTTGTTACTTTTTAAAAATAATTTTAGTATTGATAATTAGAGTTAATAATATGACTTTGCTAGACAAAACACTATGTTGTATTATTCAGTTCTCATGTGACAATAAGCATTTCTCTAATGAATCAGTGTCATAATATTCCATTCCTCAGCAATCGTAATAAATTGATATGACATCACAATGTGGCTTCTGTACATCTTATCAATGTAAGATTTGTTTTGTAAAAACTATTTCTTTTTCATGTACAATGTGTTTAATACATTATTACCCATTAGCAGTTTGTTAGAAATTCCTTTGGCAAAGATTTGGACTTTTGAATAATTTCATTTAAGTATTTCTTGAAATCAGGTCCAGTGTATCCTATCACAATAGGAGAAACACTGAGTCAAACACGCTTTAAATGTGCCAACACCTGTAGTTGTTTGGTTTCAACATTTCCAATCAACAGGTATTTGTCAAATCATGATAATTAAGTGGTTGAATTAATTATATCTAGCTTTTGTTGCTTTCTCATTGTTTAATATTTACAGCTCATCATTCTTGCAACTGTTAAAAGCAGTTAGAACTATATGCATAAAGGTATTGATAATGGGTACAGGATGGATTAATTGTGTTTTGCTTAATTGAAGTATAATTATTTCTCGTAAGATCCAGTACTCTAGCATTGATAATACCTGATGGAGGAGCAGAATGTGCAGGTAAAGGGATAATGTTCAGGAAAGTAAAAGGGTCGTTTAAGTAAAGGAGTAAAGGGATAATGAGGTACGTTAGAGAGTTGTTTAAGTAAAGGGATAATGACGTACAATAGAGAGTTGTTTAAGTAAAGGGATAATGAGGTACGTTAGAGAGTTGTTTAAATAAAGGGATAATGAGGTACGTTAGAGAGTTGTTTAAATAAAGGGATAATGTCCACATGACAGTGCAAGAATTTACTTGAGAAAGGTTTACATAAGGAGGTAAGTGCCAAATTTTATTTTCAGTTAAGGTTTAGTTTAATTTTGGAATTATTCACTGTTTCAGTTTATTATGAATTTCAATTCAATATTTCTATATTTATTTTAGCCAGACTATTCAAACAAGGGACAAAGTATAGATCTATATTAAAATTAATCTCTTCACAAATAAATTGTTTTTTTGCGATTGCAAAAATATGTGTGTAAAAAAGTGTAATGGTTTACAGTGTAAACAATATGCATGCACATCAATAGCAAAGCTGTTGGGAATACAATTAATGTACTGGCTGTGAGGAGCAGACATTTAATAAATACCATATAAACAGCACACGAGTGAAAACAAATCTGCGTTCAGGATAAAACCTAGAGATTGGTGTGTGATGAGGTATAGTATGCCTCCACCCAATCAATAGTGGAACTCCCTGTAGAATGTAACAGACAATAATCATTTCATAGTGTATCAGATACACTGATCAGCAGCTGGTTGCTAACACTTAAGGTTGTAAAACATTACTCCTGCTTTTTATTTGAAACATACAATGTCCATTGTCAACTGGTTTCTAGTTATCAAATTCGTATCAGTGTGTGAATGATGGCCTTTATGGTTCTTATTCCTATATACTTATTGGCAACAGTATCTAGATAAAGGAGACAGCAGTCTAGTGGTAGCTAGGATGCCAGGCTCGTGACTCAAGGGTTGCAGGTTCGAGTCACGGCACAGCACTGTGTTGTATCCTTGAGCAAGATACTTAACTCCAATTGTTCCAGTCTACTAAGCTGTAAATGAGTATGTGGCTGGGCAGTGCTATAATTGTTGAATGCTAGCTGAAATGGCAGCACTGGCTGTATGCTCCCCAGGGAGTTGAGAAAGATATTGGCTGGTTGCAAAGGCCCTATAACCACGGATAATAATTTGTGAACCACTTTGGGACGACCTATGAACTAGGTTGTGATAAAGCGGTATATAAGAACCTCAAATTATTATTATTATTGTTATTATTATTATAAAGGGTTAAATAGTGTTGAGGATAGCTAACATTCACATTTATTTATAGTACACTCCTAACACTTGGTATCTTTATTTTTTATCATCACCCAGTATTTAGTGTGGTGCAAGGTTATATAATTAGAAGGTTAGTGGAAAAAAACATTCAAAATGTTGTGAAGAAAATTCAAACTTTGACAGGTTCTGTCGTGTTAATACATGAGCTCAAACCTTGCAGCCCCAGTAATATTTGTGGAAAGGTAGAATGTTTTGGTTATGATGAAAGGTAAACAAAAGTAAAGCTCAACAGTAAATTGTTCTGGACCCTTTGGTGGTATGATATTGTGACCCTTCCTCGACGTCATGTAAAACCTGTATCAAAGTAGTTTCAGTTGCTTCAGGAAATTTTGGAAAAAGTTTGGGGTCAGTGCACAGAGTTGCACTCGAAGACTCGCTTCAAAAATGCACAATATCTGAAGAATAACTTAAAATAAGCAAATCCATGCATATCTAGGCTAACTTTCTGTTACATTCTGAGGACATTATAAGTCCTTCTGACCACCGACAACTCAGTGATGGTGCCATTCTGGAGCCCAACCAAAGTGACAATAGACTTATATGAAGTGAACATATACCGGTATATATAGTGACCATAATGAATCGATCAGAACTTATTTTGAGAGAAATTTGTTTGACA